GCTCATTAAGTTTCCAGGATATACAGTGCACATTTGTAATATATGTAATGGACTNTTCACCACATTTTACAAGTTGGCCACACCCACCCAGTCACATGGCCAGGAAGCCACTCCCACCCAGTCACATGGCCGGCAAGCCACTCCCACAAAGCAGGCCACACCTACAGAGGTTCTAAAAAAATTTGAAACCCACCACTGGCACAGTACCTAGCGAAATGTTTACACATTGTTGTGATGTGACAGGAGGCTGGTTCTGTAATCCCATCACCAGACACGAAAATGTTTTTCACAGACTAATGAGCTACAGAGAGGCTGGGAGTGTAGATCTCTAAATTCCCAGGTTCAATCCTGGTTCATCTACAGCAGGGGTATCAAACTCAATTTCATTGAGGGCCACAACAGGGTTATGTTTGACCTCAGGGGGGGGGCAGGGGGGTGTAGTCAGCTCGAGGTCACTCATGTTGGGTGGGGGGGCACCTATGGAAGCAGGACTTCCCTCAGACCGTCCGTTACTCTCATGATCTTCCTTCCTTCCCTAATTCCCATCTCCTTCCTTCCTTCTTTCCTTCCTTCCTTCTCTTTTTCCTTCCTTCTTCCTTCTCCTTTCTTCTTCCTTCCCCTCTTTCCTTATTTTTCCTTCCTTGCTCTTTTCCCAACTTTCCTTCTTTTTCTTTTTGTCTTTCTTATTTCCCTTTCTCCTTTCCTGTCCCTTCTTACACGCTCAAATGCAAAACGGGAACCATTTCTCTTTTTGTTATGTTTTTAGTTTTCTTTGCTAGCTCTCTGCCAGCGAAATGGGAGCCTGGGGGGGGGGGAGGGAGCTGTGGGCGGCCCCTCCAGGCCCCTTTTTCACTGGCATGGGCCTGTCTTTTGCTGTTTCTAGGGTGGCCCCACAGGGCAGAACTAAGCACCCTGCAGGCCTGATCCAGCCCGTGGGCCTTGTGTTTGATATCCCTAATCTAGAATAATAGTAGTAGCAATAAAACTTAGACTTATCTACTGCTTCACAGTGCTTTACAGCCCTCTCTAAGCAGTTTACAGAGTCAGCACATTGCCTGTAATCTGGGTCCTTGTTTTACCCACCTCGGAAGGATGGAAGGCTGAATCAACCTCGAGCAGGTGAGAATCGAACTGCTGGCAGTAGGCAGAGTTAACCTGCAATACTGCATTCTCATCACTGTGCCACCACGGCTCTTTGCCACACGTCAATGTTCCTCAAAGATGTGTGGCCTTCAACACCAAGGATTTCCCCAACCAGCTGAAGTCCCACACGTCTTCAAGTTGCCAAGGTGGAGAAGCCCTGATCTTCTAGAGCAGGGGTCTCCAAACTTGGGAACTTTAAGACTTGTGGACTTCAACTCCCAGAATTCCCCAGCCAGTTGGCTTAAAGTCTTAAAGTTCCCAAGTTTGGACACCCTTGTTCTAGAGGGAACACTTTGGAGAAGGCCATTCCAGAACAATCTGGGGTTCAGTGTGTAGGAGCAGTGTCACCTTGGAAGCAAAGTGCTGGTTATTGAACGTCTACAGGTGGCAGCTGGGCCACAACCAACAAAGACCAGAAATCTTGTTAAAAGAAAAATATACGGACAGTGCAGTGCATCCGATGTGACCAGAATCTAACACTTAAAGGAGGACATTCCCTTTGGATTCAGAAATTCTTGGTTCTCACACCTCCAGCATTTTCTTTCTAAAAAACGAAAGAAGCTCTAGAAATACACAACCACGTTTGCAGAATTTGTATGTCGCTCCACACTGTTAAAATCACGTGGATGGAATTCTCACCACTTTCATATGCATGTTGGTATATCTTACAGTGGAATGTGCTTTAAAGCACTTCTTTTTATCACGGCAGTAGCATTTTGCAAGCAGCAGATCAGCTGAACAATGCACAAAACCTCAAGTTTGATTCCCGGTATCTACTACTTTAAAAGGACTTAAAAAAATAAATAACGGAGCAGCTTGTCTTTCTGGTGCCAGTCAAAGGAGACAGCCCTGGGCTAGAGAAGAAAACGTAGATATAAATCTTCTGGAATAGCAAGTAGTTTGTGGTGTTTGCACAGGTGCAAAACAGCAAGTTTTTCACAGAACCTCCTAGGGAAACAAAATACATTCCTCTTATGGGTTGGGAAATCACACAAAACAACTGCTTTATTGTCGAAATCACAACTGGCTGGTTTCATACACCACCTTAAGTCACTATTTGCTGATTCATAGAGTATGCAGAGCTCAAACAATTTGGCAATGGATGTTGTGTGATGCTAGCAGATGGGATTTGCTATGGCAAATCTAGACAGCATACTAAAAAGCAAAGACATCACTCTGCCAACAAAAGTGTCTATAGTCAAGGCTACGGTTTTCCCAGTTGCAATGATGGCTGTGAAAGTTGGACCATAAGGAAGGGTGAACGCCAAAGAATGGAGGCCTCTGAACTCTGGTGCTGGAGAAGACTCCTGCGAGTCCCTTGGACTGCAAGGCCANCCCGAAGCTCCTCTCAAAATTGTGGCACCGACTGGTGACGGAGCCGCAGCAAAGGGAGGAAAGAGCCACATGCGGCTCCAGAGCCACAGTTTGCTGACCCCTGTTCTAGTCTATCAGAAGAGGCCTTGCTGGGAAGCAACCACCTCCAGCAAATAATTCCCTCAAGGATACAAGGAACCGTCACTCAAAAATAATAAAGACCCATCAACTTTTTGCAGATTAAAAAACTTCCCCATCAGTCTTCACCAACAAAGCTCCATTCCAAAGCTAGCAAAGTTACAAAATTCTCACATGAGCCCTCAACCTTCATGCTACACCATACAGGGTAGTCCTTGATTTATGACTGATCCTTGCACTTATGACTGTCACAGCACCCCCATGTTCACGTGATGAACATTCAGGGGCCTCCTAACTGGCACGTTTTTACCATTATTATGAGGTCCTGTGATCACCATTTGCGACCTCCCTCCAAAAGATTTTCGACAAGCAAAGTCAATGAGGGAAGCCGGATTCAATTAACAACTGTGAAAAATAGTCAAGAAATCAGGCACGACTCAATTAGCAATGGAAATTCTGGTCAACTGTGGTCATAAGTCGAGGACTACTGTGAATGAAACTGGACGCTAAACCTGACTTTTCATGGCCTTCCAAGTAAGTTACCTCAGGGAACTGCCCCATTCTGGTAAATAAGATATAGCACATATGTGCTAGTCCAGTGTTTCTCAACCTTAGCAACTTGAAGATGTCTGGACTTCAACTCCCAGCGAATGCTGGCTGGGGAATTCTGGGAGTTGAAGTCCGGACATTTTCAAGTTGCCAAGGTTGAGAAACACTGTGCTAGTCGTTTCTAATTGGTGCTCATCTCCGTTTCAAAGCCAAAGAGCCAGCGCTGTCCAAAGACGTCTCCATGGTCATGTGGCCAGCATGACTCAACCCCAAAGGCACACAGAAGGCTGTTACCTTCCCACCAAAGGTGGTTTCTATTTTTCTACTTGCATTTTTTTACATGCTTTCAAACTGCTAGGTTGGCAGAAGCGGGGACAAGTCACAGGAGCTCACTCAGTTACGCGGCACTAGGGATTCGAACCGCCGAACTGCCAACCTTCCTGATCAACAAGCCCAGCGTCTTAGCCACTGAGCCACAACATCCCATTAAATAAGATAAGTCAGCTCTAAATGTAATCCCCCATGAATTCTGGTAATGCAGAGAAGAGCCCCCATCCTATGATGGTAGACTTTCATAATGGTTGACAACCACTCATGAGGTTGCGGTGCTCATCTTTTTAACCAACTGGCATGTTCCTCTTCTTTCTGCTTCCACCTCTGCTCAGTGTAGATCACAAACTGCAGGTTAAGGAAGAATTAAGCATCGCATCCATATTAGGACCACAGAGCATGCAAAGAGAAAGCTGTAGAGGTGGACACACACACATGCACACACAAAGCATTTCCACCAGCAATGTCCTTGCTTTAAGCTTAAATAAACATCAAAGAGGCTTTCTGGATTTGAAGGAAGGAGGCCATTTCGTGAACCATCGACGGCGTATCTGTTGTTAAAATGATCAGGGCTAGACCAGATGCATTCTCAACAAGCAATAATTGCCCCCGTTATAGAGAAACAGCACGCTCACTTGTCCTTCTAAAGGACACCGGTGGTATAGTCCACCCAAGAGAAAAACAGATCCAAAATATTGAAGAAAGCAAGAGAAGGAACATGGAAAGCAGGGGTGTCAAACTCAAGGCCCGTGGGCCGAATCCGGCCCGCAGGCTGCTTAGATTTGGCCCACGGGCTGGCCCTGAAAACAGCGGGGGGGGGGGGCAGCCCACGATGCCTCTGCCAGCAAAACACAGATCAGTCACGCCACCGAGGGCTGCAGGAGGCCGTCACGGCTGAAAACAGAGCCTCGATGAGTGACATCGAGCTGCCCATGGCCCCCCCTTGGCCCCCCAAGGTCACACCAGGGGTGGGTTCCTGCCGGCATTACTACTGGTTCAGTGCGCTAAAAAAATTGCATGCACGTCAGATGTGTGCTCCGCGCACATGCACATTTGCACCTAAAAGGACTTATGCATGCGCACATTAGAAAAGGGGGGGAAATCACATTTATTCAATGAGGACCGTGCTGCGCATGGGCAGAACAGAAAATCAAGATGGCGGCCGTGAAGACAGTAGCGGTTCAGGCGCGTGTCCAGCCAAGTTACTACCTGCTTCCACCGAACTGGTCCGAACACACCTCTAGGCCACACCCAACCCTGATGCGGCCCTCAATGAAATCGAGTTTGACACCCCGGACGTAAATGACGATTCGACCGTCTTAGATTTTTAGACGCAAGAGAAGGAACGAACGTCCAGGCCAGCTCGAGAAAGTCTGCCGACGTGCAATTTGTATTTTTCTTTTCTTTTTAAGACATCGAAAAGCAAGGACATATGCTTGGTTTATAAATTAAAGCACACACAGAGAGAGACACACACAGAGCTCATGCTTTTAAGAAAGGGAAGTGCCATGCCTCACACCGGTTACCTATTCATTTCAAGATCAGTGAGGCGAGAGGAAAGGTCTTCGAGGCGGTTGATTTGTTTATGGCACTGGCTACAATAAAACTCAAACACCTCCTCAGTGATAATGCTGTGCAGTTTCGTGGCAAGCGGGTTGGTGCTAGAGAAATCACATCGACATGTTAAGTGAGGACTTTTACACACACACACACACAAAGGACGTACAAGACCAAGCTTGGGTGGCTTAAAGTTTTTTTCCCCAAAAATATAAAAATTGAAAAATATGCATGTCCTTGGTGCTCTCCAAGTTTGGTGGCTTTCTTGTTGATGTTTCATGAACCCATGAGGTAACTTGTGGTAGCACTGATGATGTTACTTAGCTGGGTCGTGAAATATCTATATGTCATAATAACAAAATAACAGAGTTTGAAGGGAACTTGGAGGTCTTCTAGTCCAACCGCCTGCTCGAGCGGGAAATCCTATACCATTTCAGACAAATGGCTGTCAAATCTCTTCTTAAAAACCTCCACTGATGGAGCACAACTTTTGGAGGCAAACTGTTCCAATGATTAAGACTAAGAGCCGAGGTGGCGCAGTGGTTAAATGCAGCACTGCAGGCTACTTCAGCTGACTGAAATCACACTTGGCCAATAAAGAATTCTATTACTATTGCATAGAAATGCTTCAACATGGCTGGATCTTGGTTGGGTTCCTAGAACAGGCTAACCAAAATCTGGTAGGTTTTTACTCGGTGGTGCAGTGTTTAGAGGGCAGTATTACAGGCTACTTCTGTTGACTGCCTGCTGTCTGCAGTTTGGCAGTTCAAATCTCACCAGGCTCAAGGTTGACTCAGCCTTCCATCCTTCCNGTGGTTCCCAAACTTGGCAACTTTAAGACTTGTGGACTTCAACTCCCAGAATTCTCCAGCCAGCAGAGCAGAAGTCCACAAGTCTTAAAGTTGCCAAGTTTGGGAACCACTGATATAGAGGACTACCTGTGAATGAAACTGGATGCTACACCTGACATTTCATGGCCTTCCAAATAAGTTGCCGCGGGGGGCTGCCCCATTCTGGTAAATAAGATAGGTAAATATAAAGGTTCCCTCACACATATGTGCTAGCCGTTCCTGACTCTAGGGGGCGCTGCTCATCTCTGTTTCAAAGCCGAAGAGCTAGCACTATTCGAAGACGTCTCCGTGGTCATGTGGCCGCCATGACTCAACGCCGAAGCACATAGAATGCTGTTACCTTCCCACCAAAGGTGGTTCCTATTTTCCTACTTGCATTTTTTACGTGCTTTCAAACTGCTAGGTTGGCAGAAGCTGGGACAGGTAATAGGAGCTCACTCCGTTACGTGGCGCATAGGGATTCGAGCCGCCGACCTTTCTGATCGATAAGCTCAGCATCTTAGCCACTGAGCCACCTGTGACCACAGGTAAATTTGTAATTGTATGTTTAACTGCTGTAAAGAAGTTCAGAAGCTGCCTCTATATTTTTAATTTCTTTTCTATTTCTCTTTTATTTTCTCCTCCTTTCTTGAACTTTTAGCTTTCTCTTTCTTCTTTTTCTTTTTCTAGTTTACGTTGGTTTTGATTTTATTTTTAAAAGCATTTGTAATAAAATTGTACAAAAAGCAAGCAATTCGGAGGCATTTCTTCCCAATACTATAGGAGCAATCTCTGGGAAAGAACCTTAAGGTGCCCGAATAGGAACGAAAAAAAAATCTTGCCAATGACTTTTGAAGGACCCCTGGGAGAAAAACCAAACTAAACCAAACCAAACATCCTTATCGGCTTCAGAGGAAGGTTTCTTTAAAAATAAAGCAGAAAAGTCAACTTAAAGGTTAGCAAGACCACTTGCTTGGGAGTCAATGTTGACCAACTGGAAGTCACATGTTCAGCGGTCAATTGGAGGAGGGAGAAAATCCAGTAAGGGGAAGATAACAGCTCAAGGTTTGCAGGGAATAGGGAATTTTGACGGTTAAGTGAGGACTACCTGTATTCTGGAAGGGCACCCAGTTGGCTGGGTAGAAGTCGGCCCCAAAAGATTGTGCACACCCATGTTTTGCTGTTAGCTTCTGTCCTGGATCCTGGCAGATCAAGGATTTGTTAAAAGACTATTTTGGGTTCCACAAAGAGGGAGGAAGGGAGGAAAGAAAGGAAGGAAGGAGGGAAAGAAGGAAGGAGCTGGGGAGGGAGGGAAGGAGCTGAGAAGGGAGGGAGGGAGGGAGGGAGGAAAGGAAGGAAGGAAGGAAAGAAAGAGCTGGGTAGGGAGGGAAGGACCTGGGGAGGGAGGGGGGAGGAAGCAAGGAAGGAAAGAAAGAAAGAAAGAAAAAGCTGGGTAGGGAGGGAAGGAGCTGAGGAGGGAGGGAGGAAAGGAAGGAAGGAGGGAGAGAAGGAAGGAAGGAGCTGGGTAGGGAGGAAGGGAAGGACCTGGGGAGGGAGGGAGGAAGAAAGAAAGAAAGAAAGAAAGAAAGAAAGAAAGAAAGAGCTGGGTAGGGAGGGAGGGAAGGAGC